CAAGCACATCTATGCAAAACACAAGTCTGAAGTATTTGCAACCATCTTCAGAGGTGCCAAGTGGATGATCTGTTTCAACCTCCTCCTGAAATTGCCAGCATCACAAATGTCATCAGCAAGTTCAATTCTGGCCATGTGATATAAATAAATGGCTGAAGGAATTGATGCTGCAAAGATTGTTGGTCCTGCCAGCATTCCAGCAATGATACTGAAGACATGCTCCAGAATTAACTATGCCCCTAGACAAGTTGTCCTCATTGGCATCTACCTAATAATGTGGAAAATTGCTTAGCTATGTCCTGTTCACAAAAAGCAAAACAATCCAAGTCAGTAAATTACTTCTCAGTCAGCAGATGCCCTGTCATCCTTCCAAACTCTAGCGAATAAAGGCCCAGTGAAATCAATCTCTCCTCATAGGACTGTCCTGCCCTCCCCGGTTCAGCCTGGTGAACCTCCACTGCACTCCCTCTATGGCAAGTGTATCCTTTCTTTGGGAGACCATAAGAAATGGGAACTGAAGTTGGCCATTCAACCCTTCACACCTGCTCTGCCATTTAATACGATCATGGCTGATTTGATACTTCTCATCCACTTTCCTGCCTTTTCCCCACTACCCTTGAATATCTCACTGATCAAGAGTCTATCTACTTTAGCCTCAGAGAGGGAGATGGAAACTGCACATAGTACTCCAGGTTTGGTCTCAACAAGGCACAGTATAACTGAATAAAACATCTCTGCTTCAGAACTCAAATCCTCTTAAATACCATTTGCCTCCCTCATTGCTTGCTGCACCTGCCTTTCTACTTTCATTGACTTGTGCACAAAGGCACTCAGATTCTTTTATAAATCCACATTTTCCAATGTGTCATCATTTAAATAATACTCTGCCTTCCTATTTCTCACACCGAAGTGTATGACTTCACATTTAGCCATGTTGTACTGCATCTGCTATGTGTTTACCCACTCACTGAACTTGTCTAAATCACCTTGAAGTCTCCTGCATCCTGCTCACAGTTCATAATTCTGACCATTTATGTATCATCAGAAAATTTGGACATACTGCATTTGGTTCCCTCATTCAGGTCATTTATATATATTGTGAATAGCTGGGGTCCAAGCACTGTGGTACACAACAAGTCATTGCCTGCCACCTGGAAGGAAACCCATTTATTCCCACTGTTCGTTTCCTGTGTATCAGTCAATTTTCAATCCATGCCAATATATGACCATAATTCATGTTTTTAATTTTGCCCACTAAGTTCTTATGTAGAACCTTTTCAAACAACTTCTGAAAATCCAAATAGACCACATCTACTGGTTCTCCTTTATTTTTTCCACCAGTTACATCCTCAAAAATATCTTCAGTGGATTCATTAAGCATGATTAGCCTTTCATAAACCCTTGCTAACTTTGTCCAATCCCATTAATGCTTTCCAAATGTTTTGTTAACTGTATTTTAGCATGTTCCCCAATATTGTGGGGAGGCAATGGCCTCGTGATGTTGTCGCTGGACTGTTAATCCAGAGAACCAGGTAACGTTCTTGAGATCTGGATTCGAATCCTGCCATGGCAGATGGTGGAATTTGAATTCAATAAATATCTGGAATTAAGAGTCTAGTGATGACTGTGAATCCATTACCAACTGTTGGAAAAACCCATCTGGTTCACTAATGTCCATTAGGGAAGGAAACTGCCATCCTTATCTGGTCTGGCCTACATGTTACTCCAGACCCACAGCAATTTGGTTGACTCTTAGCTGCCCTCTGGGCAATAAGGGATGGGCAATAAATGCTGACCTAGTCAGCGACGCCCTCATCCTGTGAATGAATAAAGGAAAAACAAACTATTAATGTTAGGCTGATGGTTTGTGCTTAGAATCGTAGAGTCTTACGGCACAGAAACAGACCCTTCAGTTCAGTTCAACCGGTCCATGCTGACCAGAACCTCAAACTAAACTAGTCCCACTGTCTACACTTGGCCCATACCCCTCCAAACATTTCTTATTCATGCATTATCCAAATGTCTTCTAAACATTGTAACTGTACTCACGCCCAACATTTCCTCTGGAAGTTCATTCCACACACGAACCACTCTGTGTAAAAAAAGTTGCCTTATGTCTTTTTTAAATCTTACTCCTCTCACCTTAAAAATACACGCTTAGTCTTGAAATTCTCCACCCTAGGGAAAAGACACCTGCCATTCACCTTAGTTATACCCTCACAATTTCATAAACCTCAATCTCCTATGTTCCGGTGAGAAAGGTCCCAGCCTATCCAGCCTATCCTTATAACTCAAACTCTGCATTCCCAGCAACATCCTGGTAAATCTTTTCTGAACCCTCTCTAGCTTAATAATATCCTTCCTACACAGTACTCTATACGAGGCTTCACCAACGTCGTGAACAATCTCAACATGACATCCCAACTCCTGTACTCAAAGGTCAGAGCAATGAAGGCAAGCATGCTAAATGCCTTCCGAACGACCCATAAGTCCTGTCCTTACCAAAATGCAATACCTCACATTTATCCAAATTATTCTCTCCCTCCCTTTTTTAAATAATGGGGTTACATTTTCCACCCTCCAATCTGTAGGAACTGCTCCAGAGTCTTTAGAAATTTGGAAGACGACCACCAGTGCGTCCAATATTTCCAGGCCTACTTCCTTTAGTATTCTGGAATATAGATCATCAGACACAGGGTGATTTGTCAACCTTTAACTGAGTTCATTCCCATAGCACTATTTTCTTTGTAATATTGATTTCCTTCAACTCTTCCTGCTAAGTAGATCCTTGATTCCCTACCACTTCTGGGAAGTTATTTGTGCTCTCTGCTCTGAAGACAGAACCAAAATATGTTTTCAATTCCACTGCCATTTACTTGTTTACCACAATAATTTCCTCATCTTCTGACTATAAGGGACCCACATTTGTCTTTACTAATTTTATATATCTATTTGGATCAAATATTATCCATAATTTTTTTTGTAGGCTGCAGTTGTCATCCTTCCTCTTTTGTTTTTCTGCCAGACAGGAATGAATAATACTTGTACTTCATACATTGCATTTTTCTAAATATTATTCATTACCTGTCCACCATCAATCCTTTAAGTAATGTCCTCCAATCCATCATTGCCAGTTTACAGCTCATTCCTTTATAGGTCCCTTTGTTTACATTTTAGTTTCTGATTCAGCCACTTCACACTCCATTAGTGTAGAATTATCTCATATTGTAGTCGCCCTTCCCCAAGGGATCCCACAAAACAAGATTGTTAATTAACCCTTTCTTGTTACACAGTATCCAGTAGCATAGCCTATTCCCTAGTTGGTTCCTCAACATTTTGGTCTAAAAAACTATCACATACACTGTCCAGGAAATTCTCCTCCACAATATCATTGTGAGTTTGTTTTGTCCAATCTATATGTAAATTAAAATCATCCAATGCTCCCAAAACCATTTTCTGCCCCGTAGTGTTTCTTATCTACACCTATACAGATTTCACATCATGATTTTCAGATTCTTCGTTTCTACTGCATTGAAACAGCCTTTATCAGCAATGCTAACCCACCTCCTTTCCCTTTTTATCTGACTTTCCCGAACAATGAATACCTCTGGAGGCTCAGTTCCTCTAGTTGGCCACCTTGCAGTCATGATTCCGTTATTGAGACAATGTCACAATCATTTATATCTGTATACACTGCTAATTTGTCTTCTGTATTACAAATGTTCCACACATTAAGGCACAAAGATATTATACTTTTTTTGAACTTTGTTAGTCACCTTACCTTTATTTTGCACTATGATCCCATTTGATTTTCTCTCATGTTTCTTTCTGCCTTCCACTTTTGCTTCTTACTTTCCTGTCTTCTGTTTCTATCCTTGTTTCCCCCTCCTCTGTCTCCCTACTCACATTCCTGCCATTCTAGTTTAAACTCCCCCGATAGCACTAGCAAATTCCCTGACTGAGGATATTAGTTCCAGTCCTGCCCAGATGCTGCTTTTACTAGACCCACCTACCTCGGAATTGTTCCCAATGCCCCAGAATCTGAATCTCTCTGCTCTGCACCATTCCTCCAGCCACTAACTCATTTGACATATCCTATTATTTCTACTCTCACTAGCACGTGGCACTGGTGGTAATCCTGAGATTACTACCTTGGAGGTCCTACTTTCTAATTTATGTCCCAGGTCCATATATTCTGCTGGTAGGACCTCGACACTTTCCTTTCTCTATGTCAAACACGAAGGCACTTTCCCTGCCCAATCCTGCCAGAGACCTGATCAGGGCTGCCCACACCTTCCTCCCAACTTCACATTTGATACCACCCTCCTCCCAGTAGCTAAGGGTTTGATTGGGTCATGCGAAGTGCCCAACAGTTGGTGAAATTGAACAAGTTGGGGGATGGGCAGGTAAGCTGGCTAAAGTTACCCACGGAATTTTCCAGGCCTCTCTGATAACTGGGGACCTGTAAAATTCTGAACAAAAATAGATGTCGCTGGAAAAGCTCAGCAGGTCTGGCAGCATCTGTGAAGAAAAAAATCAGAGTTAACGTTTCGGGTCCGGTGACCCTTCCTCAGAACATTCTGAACCTTCTGTAAAATTCTGCCCATTAACTGCAGAATTGGTGATGAGTGATTCATTTCTGTTCAATTACTTGGCTCACTATTCAGTCCTTAGCTTCCTGCTGACAGTCAATATCCAGTCCTGATACTAGCCACCGGTCACAGGAGAAGCATCTCTGTATTATGAAAATGTACTGACACTGATTTGTGCCGTGACATTAACCTGCCGAGTCAGATTTGAACGAAGGATACACCAGATTTGTTAAAGAAATGCATGTTGGAGAATGGGGAATGTTTGTTGCTATAATGACCAGCATATTAACTCCTGCTGAAAATTAAAGGAAGATTTTGTGGAAGTTTTTCATTTTGTATTTAAAATGTAGATTTCAAAAGTGAGCTTTGTATATTAATTATTCCTCTGGCCTTTGTTGTGGTTTACAGCGGCATTGAAACAAGTGGTGGCTATATGAGTACAGATTCCGCAACTCAAGACAACGTCAGGGCCTGCAAACTTGCTTCATCTGACCGCAGGTAAAACCGTTTTTTTTATTCTGGAGTTGGCTTCTAACCAATCACACAATCAGAGAAAAACAAGAGAGCATTTAGCTTCAGAGATAGTAGGAACTGCAGATGCTAGAAAATCTGAGATAACAAGGTGTAGAGCTGGATGAACACAGCAGGCCAAGCAGCATCATAGGAGCAGGAAGGCTGACGTTTCGGGCCTAGACC